GGCGAACTGAAAGAGGAAGCAGAAGAGCCAGACATAAAATAAGAAGAGCTGGGAATTGAGGAAGAAGACTCAGAAATAGACGAAGAAGAGCTGCACATAGAAGAAGGAGAGCTAGACATAGATCAAGACCGCCGCCGACTCACACGTTGCGTACACGGTGCGACTGGTGGAGGGCGCCCTCGCAATCTAAGATTGGAAGCGGGCGAAATAGGCATGGCACGCCCCTATCCGACGGAACCCTTCACAATGGTTGAGACCTGTTCCTGGCTCATCTGTAGGGCCTGGAACGCGGCGAACTCAGGATTGATGCTGGCCGACGTATCCGAATTCTCAACGAGCGTGCGCAGGGCGGTGACCTCCTCGTTCTTCGTGAAGAACAATATGCCCTTGCGTCCGTTAAGAACAATATGCCCTTGCGTCCGTTGACCCCTAGCATGATGCCCTGACCGATACCTTTGCTGGCATAGTGATTCGAGACCGCCTGCCACGCCGTCCCAATAATGATAATGCAACGACGAACATCAGGCGTGGCATCAGGACGGGCTCGAAGATTAATGAAACCTTTTGGGGGATCGAACTGCAGGCCGTTGCTCTTGACATGCTCCAGGAAGGCTTTGGCACCTGCGGCGGACTAGAACTTGACTGCGGCAGCTTAGTAGCGATTCTGAGCGACAACCTCTTTTGAAGCCTTGAGGTGTGAGGGAAAACGCGGAAGCACAACCTCATGCATGTACTTTGTCATCACACGTGCGAGCATTGGGTCAAGGAAACCTCCAATCCAGATCTTCGCGGCGTCGGCATCGCGCTCGAGACCACCAGAACCAATGAAGGAACTCGGTGAAGAGGCAGGACCCGACGAGCGAAACCTCCAACGAGTGAAGTCAGCAACCGAGGAGGGACTGGAACGCGTACTGGCAGTGTCAGCGCTCGACTGGGATGCTAACGCTTTGGCTTCGACCCGAGCAAACAGAGCAGCTTCTCGTGCCGTGCTCAACCCAACCTTCACCTGCGCCTCGAGTGGAGGGCCGAGCGGTGATCTGCATGACATTGTTTTCACTCTTCTGCACGAAGCCTGCAAGCCCGAGACGTCGTCTTTCGTGGCCATGTTGCGCTCCATGCGGGCAAGGATGGCAAGCAGCGAGGAATCAGCACCCGATTCAGGCCCGCGAGCGCAAACCTGACGCTGGAACTCCCCGTCCCCCTCCATGTCGGAGTCACCGAATGGGGCAGCAAGTGCTCTCCCTGGACGCTTCCTTGAACTTCATGTCCCTACCACCTCGCAGTCCTGATATTTCGAAGGATGCAAGACAAATCCTGTTTCAAAGACGGGGCTCTCGCCTGAAGGGCATGCCCATGGGGCAATCGTCTCTGAAAGTAGCACATCGCGTAGTGAAACGCGATGTCCTTCCCAGCCTTTCTGTGGAATTGGGTCATCGTTATCTCTCCTAGCGCCGCGCGTCTCCTTATCTCCTCCTCCTCCTCCTTCTCCTCCTGTTCCTGTCCTCGCTCTTTTCGGTTCTCCCCTCACACGTTTCGTGATGCACAGGGAGCTCCACCTACGGCCCCAGTGCGCCTGCATAGTGACGCCCCGGCCTGGTCGGCATGCGTACCCCGTACGCGGATCGTGCCACAAAAGAAGCCGGACCGAATTTTGGCACCAATGAGGGAGTCCGCGTGGCGTCGACCCGCCCATTTCGACACACCCCTCACAGGCGTCGTGCCCAGCAAAGAACTCCACCTACGGCCCTAGTGAGGGCGTTCGCCTAACGTCCCCCCGCCCATTTCCACGCATCCCTCACGCGGACCGTGCCCAACAGGGAGCTCCACCTACAGCAGCAGTGAGAGCGTTCGCCCAGCGTCGTCCCACCCTTTTCTGCACACCCCATGGCGTTTGCATGGCGTCACCCCGCCGATTTCGACACACCCCTCAAGTGGATCGTGGCCGCCCCGCTCATGTCGACATACACTTAAGACTTACGACGGATCGTGCCCCGTAATGAATTCGGCGCGCCTCTGCGCGCGCGTTCCGTCAGGCATCCGGGTTTTACTCTAGTCCTCCTCCTCCCCTCCTGCCCCTCCTGCCACTCCTCCTCCTTCTCCTCCTCCGCCGCGCGCGGGAACAGGAGGGAGAAAGGATGAGAAAGAGGAGAAGGGCAGAAACTGGAGAGAGGATCAGGAGTACGGCGGGTTCGTATCGTAACGACCTCGCGATTGCACTCAAGCCATTCGCCGCCCGGCGCGTGGGCGATAAAACAAACTCTGCACACCTTGCACTGTAAAGGAGGAGGAGGAGGAGACGAAGGAAGAAACAAGACGAGGTGAGAGAACAACAGCAACAACAGGGGGGAAGACGGAAACAAACAAAACACATCAATACATTGATTGATTAATGGACGGGCGTGTCTGCCAGGGCCCGCAAGCATCAGAAACCGCCGATGTGGTTCTCACCAAAGTCCCGCCAACGACCTACGCATTGGCTTCTGACACCGCGTGGATCCTTCAACCTTGCACGATCGCGGCTTTCCGAAAGCGCAAATCGTTCGATATCGGCAGATTCTAGGACGCTGCTGGCGTTCAACCGACCGTACGCGGACAGAGGGGGAAGGACAAGAAGGGAGGATGAGCAGGGGGTAGAGGAAGAGGACGAGGAACGAAGTGCCCCCGTGCGATGTGTGCACTTGGTGTGGTCAATCACCATCGAATCGGAAATCCGGATCGGATCGGAATGTGCATCGAATCGGGCCGCATCAGCACGAGGTCGGAATCGAATCGGATCGGCGGCGCCAAGATCCACAGCTGCTCCATGCAGACGCCAGGCCGCACTGGATCGTCGGAGCGTCGGAATCGGAATCAGATCGGGCCAGCCAGAACCGATGCGGAATCGGATCGACCGCACCAAGACAGGCCCTGGGAGGGATGAGCAGGGAGAGGAGGAAGGAGGAGGAGGACGAGGTGCTCCCGCGCGATGTGCGCAGCCGGCGCCCTCCGCTCGACGGGTGCATAGCCACACAAAGGCCCTCTAGAGCCGCGCACCGATGCTGCGGGACACCCGTCGAGCGCCCGTCTCTGGCCAGGCGGACGCACGCCGAGGCCACGCCCCCGGGGCCACGGAAGCTCCGCCCAGGCGAGGTGGCCCGGGGGGGGGGGGGCAGGATCAGTCCGCACCGAATCGGGCAACCGGATCGGATCAGACCGTCCGTCGAATCGGGCCGCACGAGGTGGGAACCGACCCGGATCGGCCGCGCCAGGATTGACAGCAGCATCGTGCAGGCATCGGAACGCACCGAACCGTCGGAGCTTCGGAAGCGAAGCGGATCTGGGGAGACCAACAGGTACCGATACCGGTACTCCGCGGACCTCTCCCAGGGGTGCGTTCTGACCAGGATTTCGAGGCGAATCCGGCGCCGGCGACAAGGGCCTCCCAGGAGGCCCAACAAGGGGAAGACGGGCGAGGGGGTCAGAGGTATGGGTACCTGTTCCTCCTCCGAGGATCGAGCAGGCTGGAATGGATCTCGAACCGGACCGGTGGGACCGAAGTGGGGCCCCGTGGGCAGGCGGAGGCGGGGGGCTCACCGTCTCAGCCAGGGGCGCGGCCTCGGCGGCAGAGGGACGACGGCCACGCGCAGGCCCTGCGCCCGCGGGCGCGGACGCAGAGGGGGGGCGGCGGATGCGGCACGCCTGGGCAACAGGCCAGGGCGCACGGGGAGGGACGGGGAGGCCCAGAGGAAGACCAAGGCTGCATGAGCATGACAAAGGTCCGCGCGGACTTCTCGGATCGGCGTCGGGCCTCCCGAGTGGCGCCCCCAGCGCAGTCCCTGGCGCGCCTCGCCCCGCGCGCCAGGAAGGGGGCCCAGTGCCCATCCAGGAGACCCGCGCGCACCTCCGAAAGTTTATACCAGTGTAGTTTTTCCCAACCATCCTGTGGTGTTGGGTCCTCGTTTTGAAGAGACGGTGCCCCGCGTTCCTCTCCTCCTCTCCTCCTCTCCTCCTCTTCCCCCTCCTCCCTCCTCCCATCAGCATCAGCATCAGCATCAGCATCAGCATCAGCATCAGCATCAGCATCAGCATCATCATCATCATCATCATCATCATCATCATCATCATCATCATCATATCATCATCATCATCATCATCATCATCAGCACATCATCATCATCATCATCATCATCATCATCATCATCATCATCATCATCATCATCGTCATCACCCACCATCATCGTCATCATCACCATCATCGTCAACACCTCTTTTTTCTTGGCCCCATAGGGAGCTCCACCGAAGGCCCCAGTGCAGCGCCCGCATGCGTCAGCACACCCAATTCGGCACCCCCTCACAGCTTTCGGGCCCCATAGGGAGCTCCACCAAGGCCCCAGTGCTGCCGCCAGCATGCGTCAGCACACCAAGTTCGACACACCCTCACACGTTTCGTGGCCCCATAGGGAGCTCCACCAAGGCCCGAGGGCTGCCGCCCGCATGCGTCCCCACACCCATTTCGGCACACCCCTCACACGTTTCGTGGCCCCATAGGGAGCTCCACCGAAGGCCCCAGTGCCCGCGCCCGCATGCGTCAGCACACCCATTTCGGCACACCCCTCACACGTTTCGTGGCCCCATAGGGAGCTCCACCGAAGGCCCCAGTGCTGCCGCCCGCATGCGTCAGCCACACCCAATTCGGCATACCCCTCACACGTTTCGTGGCCCCATAGGGAGCCCCACCGAAGGCCCCAGTGCTGCCGCCCGCATGCGTCACCCACACCCAATTCGGCACACCCCTCACACGTTTCGTGGCCCCATAGGGAGCTCCACCAAAGAAGGCCCCAGTGCTGCCGCCCGCATGCGTCCCGCACGACCCAATTCGGCACACCCCTCACACGTTTCGTGGCCCCATAGGGAGCTCACCGAAGGCCCCAGTGCCGCCGTCCGCATGCGTCCCGCACATCCCATTCGGCACACCCCTCACACGTTTCGTGGCCCCATAGGGAGCTCCACCGAAGGCCCCAGTGCCGCCGCCCGCATGCGTCAGCCACACCCAATCCGGCACACCCCTCGCACGTTTCGTGGCCCCATAGGGAGCTCCACCGAAGGCCCCAGTGCCGCCGCCCGCATGCGTCAGCCACACCCAATTCGGCACACCCCTCACACGCTTTCGTGGCCCCACAGGGAGCTCCACCGAAGGCCCCAGTGCTGCCGCCCGCATGCGTCAGCCACACCCAATTCGGCACACCCCTCACACGTTTCGTGGCCCCATTGGGAGCTCCACCGAAGGCCGCAGTGCCGCCGCCCGCATGCGTCAGCCACATCCAATTCGGCACACCCCTCACACGCTTCGTGGCCCCAGCCCGCATGCGTCAGCCACACCCAGTTCGGCACACCCCTCACACGTTTCGTGGCCCCACAGGGAGCTCCACCGAAGGACCCAGTGCCACCGCTCGCATGCGCCCCGCACACCCATTTCGGCACCTCCACCAAACACAGCGTTTCGTGGCCCCACAGGGACCTCCACCGAAGGCCCCAGTGGTGCCGCCCGCATGCGTCACCCCCACCCCAGCACAGCATTTCGTGGCCCCACAGGGTGCTCCACCGAAGGCCCCAGTGGTGCCGCCCGCATGCGCCACCCCCACCCAGCACAGCGTTTCGTGGCCCCACAGGGAGCTCCACCGAAGGCCCCAGTGGTGCCGCCCGCATGCGTCACCCCCGCCCAGTGCAGCGTTTCGTGGCCCCACAGGGACCTCCACCGAAGGCCCCAGTGGTGCCGCCCGCATGCGTCACCCCCACCCAGCACAGCGTTTCGTGGCCCCACAGGGAGCTCCACCGAAAGCGGCACCCGCAATGCGATATTCACAACTGCACATGGTTGGGTCCTTCGCCAGGATAATTCTGCGAAGGACAGGGACGGATGACGAATGAGGAGGATGAGGAGGATGAGGATGAGGAGGATGAGGAGGATGAGGAGGAGGAGGAGGAGGAGGAGGAGCTAGGGCTCCCAACTTCGCGCTTCGCGCTCCGCGAAGCGCGAGGCGCGAATAACTTCGCGCTCTCGCGCCGCCCCCCCAAAGGGAGAAAAGGAGGACGAGGAGGAAGGGGAGAAGGAACGAGGACCGCGAAGCGCGAAGCGCGAATAACTTCGCGCCCTCGTGGGAGCCCTTGAGGAGGAGGAGGAGGAGGAGGAGGATGAGGATGGGGAGGCTCTCGAGGTGAGGATGAGGAGGATGAGGATGGGGAGGCTCTCGAGGTGAGGATGAGGATGAGGAGGATGAGGATGAGGAGGATGAGGATGAGGAGAATGAGGATGGGGATCTCGAGGTGAGGATGAGGAGGATGAGAAGGGGAGGCTCTCGAGGTGCAACGGCGGCCGCACTCGGACCCGGCTCCCGCCTCGTGCCCGAATTCGATACGCGTTTTCCTTGTCGCCTCTCTTTCCCCTGGAGCGAGCTCGCGCATCCCGCCCAGTCGAGCGAACGAGCAAGCGATGAGGAGGAGGAGGAGGAGGAGGAGGAGGAGGAAGAGGAGGAGGAGGAGGAGGAGGAGGAGGAGGAGGAGGAGGAGACAGAGGAGGAGGAGGGGGAGGAGGAGGAGGAGAAGAAGACGGAGGAGGAGGAGGAGGAAGAGGAAGATCACAGATGGCCAGGAGGACGAGGGTGACGGATGACCACGGATGAACGCGGCCTGCGGGTGACGGGCGAGGAAGAGGAGAGGAGGATGACAAGGACGATACTCAGACATCCGATGCCTCGCTTGTTTTCAACACGGGCCCCGACACTTTCCGCGCGCAGGGCCGGCTTCTCATTCGACTGAGTAGTTTGTTGCGGGTTCCGGTGCCCAAAACCGGTCCCATGGGCCGAACACAACGAACAACCGCCGCCTTGACTTTCCAAAGACGCTGGAAGCCTGGGTGACGAGGAGGGGGACGCGAACGACCAGGAGACGAATGCCTTCGAAGCTCTGGCCTCTGAGGGTCTCAGGGTCTCGGGAGCCCCCTGGTCGCCAGGGCTAGACGCGGCGCTGGAAACAAGTCATCATGGTGGCCGCGAGGGGTCTGGGGACTGATCGCGATGACGTAAGGTCCGTCCAGGCTTCCAGCGTCGTGGAACAATCGAGACTCAAGAGGTTTCGCTTTTGGGTTGTCCAGCATCCGTGGGCACCGGGACCGTCAGCAAGCACAATCAGGTGAGAAACCGGCCCTGGAGAAACGGTCGGGGCTTCTGCGGACCCGCCCATACTGGGGAAACCCAGAAGTCCCGATACCGCCACACCCCAGACCTCTCCCAGGGTGCGTTCTGGCCAAAATTTCGAGGCGAATCCAGCGGTGGCGACGAGGGCCTCCCAGGAGGCTCAAAAAGGGGAAAACGGCCGAAGGGCAGAGGTATGGGTACCTTTGCCTCCTCTGACAGATGCATAACGAATTAGTGCGACATTCGAACTCTCAGGCGCTGCTATGCTTCCCCAGCGCACTTCGGATCCCGCTCTGGGGAGCGCTCGGGACCGCGGCGAGCACCTGGCGCGGCGAGCACTCCTCAGAGCGGCGGTCGCCCGTGGCGCCGAGGGCGCCGCGTGCGCCGCGCGGGCCTCTCGCCATCCTCTGGCGGGTCTCGATGGTTGGCTACCTACCAGGCCACCCCAACCCAACCCGAAGACCCGAATTTCGGGTTGGGGGGGGGGTACGGGCTTCACACATGTCTTTTCCCCAATCAGTGCTTGCACTGAGGGGGGGTCCTAGCGGAGGTTGAGAAATTTGGCGAAAACTTCCCGCCGACTTTGGTGACAAGTTGGGTTCCCAAGTTCCCTGTTATTGGTTCCCAGCCGGTTTCGGTGGGTTCTGGTTTCCCGGGCTCTCGGGTTACCGGTCGATCTCCTCAGCGAAAACCATCCACTGATTGGGGCTTTTCTCTGGTGTAATTGTTATTTTTCAATGGTCTACTGCCCCCCCCCAAACTGGAAATGGAGGGCAAATCGGGGCCTTCGGGTTGGGCTGGGGTGGTTTGGTGGGCGGTTAAGTGTTGCCACGCCCGGAATGGCGAGTTTCCTCTCCCGCCTCCTCCTGCTTTGCTGTTGCCGCCGCCTCTAACCCCCTCTTCGAGGAGAGATGAAGGAGGGAGAAGGAAGGAGGAGGGGAAGAAAGGAGGCAATCTATGGAAGAAGGACGAAGGAGGAGGAGAGGAGGAAGATGTGGTGGGAAGGAGGAGGGGAGGAGGAGGAGGAGGAGGAGGAGGAGGAGGAGGGAGGGGAAGGGAGAGAGAGAGAGAGATACCAAGACGCAGCTGGCGTCCAAACTCGGCGCCGGTGAAAAGGTGGCGCCGGAGGTTCGCGCCCGCACAGGTGCCGCAAACGCCCGGCGAAGGGGGCCGGCGGCAAGCCTGAAGAGGGCCGGACACGGGAAGCACACGCGGCTGGGCCCGCGCGCGGAGCACAGGGACCAAGACACCCAGCTGCTCCAGCTTTTTCGATGCCTGGGCCCCGGAGGTCCGGGCGTGAGTTTTTGCCCTTCTGAGAAGTGGTCCTACAGAGGAAGAGAACTGCGCCTCGCGAAACCCGGCGCAGGCCCCCAGAGGCCGAGAGCGGCCCCGAGCCGCCTGCTCCGATTGTCTTGGGGAGCGTCGGACATCACGGGAGGCCACTCGCCGGAGGCCCGCCCGGGGGCCGGAGGGAGGCCCCGCCGCGCGGGAGGCCGAGCGCTGGAGGGAGGTGCGGCAGCGTGCGTGTCCCTCTCTCTCGCCCCCGGGGCAGCCACGCCGGACGTGTCCGGCCTGCTGCCACGGGGCCCAGGGGCACACACACACGCACACGCACACGCACACGCACACGCAGATAGGCACAAAGCCAAAGCCCAGGATGCCCCATCTGTGCCAAGATTTCCTGGGCTTTCTCGTCGTCCCCCCCACTTCCCATATGTTTGTTCCTTCTCTTTTCCTCGGGGTCGCCGATGACTTGTGTCTGTGTGCCGAAACCAAGCACCCGATGGCCTGTTTTCGTTCCATGCGGGGCCGCAGGAAGTTCCCACCCTCTCCCCAAAGGCTGTTGGAGGCCTGGGAATGGGCACCAACACCAACACAGGGGGCAGCCTCCACAGGGGGAAGAGGATCCCACATTTCGGTGTTGGTGGTTATACGTCGGTCACCTTGGAAGCCAGAATATTACCAGCATCGCCGAGATCGGAAGCTTCGTTCCTCGGTGGGGGCACACCGCCGATGTTGGTGTTGGTGTCAACCTCTAGGCCTGCGACCGGCTGACTCTTCATCCCGAGCCATGTCCTGACGGCCCCGGAGCCCAGAATTCGGCCCCTGGGGCCGACAAAGAGCAACAAACAGATCCGCCTTACTAGTTCTGCTCAAGGCGTTGGGTGCCTGGGAAAACCCCAGAAGTCGAGGGGGGGACGTGGCGCCGATCTAAGAGGAGCCGCGCGGACCTGCGGCAGTCCACGCCGACAGCGCCGCCGGATCACGAGGATGCGGCGAAGAACGCAGGGCCCCTGGACGCGCCGAAACTGCAGCCGACGCTGGAAGCCCGTTGACCCCTAAGGAATCCTAAGTAAGGAACAAGGCCCCTCTTTTCCATAAGTTCAACGTCGACTTCCCATCGAAAACCTAGGAAACACCTCAGGCAAACTGCAAAACAACAAAGGAACACTGAGCCCCTCCCACACGAAAAGGGCTCCCTCTTCAGCGTTCCGACTGCAGGAACAAGGAAAAGCGACACCACCATCACCAGGGAACACTAGCGGGATGAGCCAGAGGGGGGGTCCCCCTGGTGGTGTGGTCCCCCCATCTCGCCCGAGGCTTAGGTCGGGTGTGTCCCCCTACAGGCGGATTTTCAGCGAAAAATAATAATTCACACAAAAAAAGCATAAAAAGAAATGGTTGAAAAAGTCGCCCCCATACTATTTTGCCTATTTTTGAATATTCCTCCTGTAGAGGGACAGGCCCGACTTAACCCGAGGCGTTCCCTGTTTCCACTAGCTCGAGGAGGCATCGTGGACCTCCGTGCCAGAGGTGGCCCCACTGGTGGTGGTGGTGGTGACGCCACCTCTGCCTCCCCCGAATGCAAATGTACCCTTGGAAAGTCGCTCATCCTCATGATGCGGCTTGACTGTGCAGTAGGGGCCCCACCACAGGAAACCTTCCACAAGAAACCCAACCCTGGACGCCCACTGATTTTTGGTGTGGGAACGTCACGCCTTCCATCGCAAAACCATCGAAACCCAAGAAACCCAGGGCACCCTGGAGGCAAGCAGGGTGTTTCTTGGCATGGGCCTCCACTGTACTCGGCTACACGCAAGAATGACCCTGGGTAAGAGTGACCTTTGGTGCGCGGCTTTTTGGGGGCCGCGGGGAGACCAAACCTGGGCGCGCAAGCCGCTGCTACCGCTTCGTCTTCAGCCATCTGAGGACCCATCCGAGGACCCATCTGTGCCCGCACCCAAGGTCATTCCAGCGAAAGGTCACTCTCACGTCTAGTCGATGTACGCAGCTTGCTTGTCTCCGGCCTCCCGGCTTGCCGCCAGAACCAGGGGGCCGCGTCGCGCAGCGCATGAGCGCTGGCAGAAGACAGCGGAAGAACACCGCGCCCGGGGCTGCCGGCGTTGCCCATTGCTCGGGCAGACGCAGGCTCCTCTTTCGGCGGCGAGCCCAGGGGGAAGTGGGAGGGGGTGAGCCTTCTCAGGAGGCTCGGCAGGCTTCGGGCCTTCTGACAAGTCTTGTGATGCCTTCCCCCGACGAGGCTGCCAATCTCTCATACAGGGCGCGAGGGCTCCTGAGAAGCCCTGCCGCCGTCGCTCCCTCACACCTCACCCCCCGAGGCTCGCCGCCGACTCTGGGAGAGTGCCCTTCTCGGCGGTCCCGCCTTCCAAGAAGGCTCCCCGCGGTCTCAGAAGGCTGTCCCCCTCGTGCCCACTCCCTCTTTCTTGCGCGCGTCTCCAGAGGACGTTGACAAACGACGGCTCGGACCCCGTCCACCTCATCCTCCTCTGGAGGCCAGAGAGTTCTCCCAGCTCCAGAATACGAGCAAAAACCAAGACGCACGTTGTTCGCCGTTCTCGGCCTCCAGGAGCCCTCGCTGGGCGGGGGGCCCTTCGTGAAAAGTACCCGGCATGAAGAAACAAGCCCGTAGGCGAAGGGCGGTGACTCCTCGGGACCCCCATTCGAGACGTCGGACGTCTTGATCATCCCCCAACATACAGATCCCCTGAAATCCAGTGTCTCGAACAAGAAACCTGCCAATTTGTCACCATTTTGACATTCGATGGCCAACCTCCTCGGGACCGTCAGACCACGATCTGGAGTGAAAAAAAAGTTCCGGGAAAGAGGCGAGGGGTCCAGAGGCCCATGGCGCGAACAACTCGAGGCTTCTGTGGAGCCGACGTCCCAAGACCCCAGTATCTTCGCAATTTGGTAATCGTTAGTGGGCGGAGCCTCGGAATGAAGGGTTGGGGGGGGACCTCTTGGGACTCATCTGGAGCTCTTTTGGGGTACTCTTGGGGCACTCTGGGGGCTCTGTTCGAGCTGGTCTGGGGCTCTATTGAGGTTCTGTTGGGGCTTGAGCCTGAGGAGCCTTCCTGGGGCCATCTTGCGACCTGCGTGGCGTCAAATGCAAGTGAGCGACGAAAAAAAAACAGGCCTTACGCAATATGGCAAAGCGACCTTATGCCGCGGCTTATGCGGGTCGCTAGGGATGCATGCTTCATTAGAAACGAGGGCGTTTATGCGCGACCTTGCGAAGAATGTCGGTGAAAACGAATATGTTGTCTGTGTTGCTCAGGTGGTGCTGTTGACCTTTCCCTTTGTGGAACACTTCTGGGGCTCTGGGCTGCTACCCCGCGTTGGTCATGAAGGCGTCGGCGTGCGTGACGTCGCGTCCATGACCTCAACAGATACCGAAGGTGTTCCTGGTGTTATGGGGAACCCTTTCTATAAAAAGGGGCCCTTCGCACGTATCCACTCAAGTGAATCGACGTACTGCTGCTGAGTTCGTGGCGTGCAGCCATTGAGGGATTGCAGCAGCGCGCTGGCTCATTGTGGAGCGATGTCTAAAGCCAGAAAAATCAGGGTCGTGGGTAGATGCAAGTTCGAAAAGCGCCGACGTCTCGTCGACTCGTCCTTCTGGATTCGCGTGGACGTCGAGCAGCTGGGCTCCTGAGGCCAAGCGTCGCTCACCTTCTACGGACTCAAAGACGGTGCAAAAGGACGTACATGAGATAGGTGACGTGGTCGGACCGTGACGTTGCAAGGAATTTGGATCGCAATGTGGCATGCGGTGCCGCCTAGACCTCGCTGCAATGTAACGGACTGTTTTTGTGGGTCACGCGGCCGCTGATCATACTGAGCCAAGCGTTGACGTCCGACACCCAATCTCGAAAAGATGCGCCTGCTTGCGGGGACCCGTGAGGTCCTCGCGCGCTCGTGCTGTCGCTGGCTCTATGCGCGTAGCCGGTGGCAACTTCAAGTTCTAGCCAAAGGGCTGCAACATGACGGGGCGTAGCTGTGATGGAAAATTCGGTATGTTGCTTGATCTCGTTGACCGTCGAATGCCCTTTGGGGTTTGAGATTAAGTTTGCCTCGGAGAGGCACGTTTCCATGTAGCTTGTTTCCAAGCGCGTAGATTGTAGGATCCTTCTGGTTGCTGACCTAACTTGTACTGGTACTGAGTAATGCCCAAGGCTGGTACAAACTCGACCTCGAGCGAAAAGAGAAATCGTGCCGCAAATAGATCAGACCGTTCGTTTCCGATGTCATCTGGTTGGTGGCCTTGGTGCTCGGCCACAAACAATACATGAGTAATTCCTCGGAGACACTTCCGAGGAATCGGCGCAAGTACTGCATCTGGGGTGGTGCAAGGCAGGATCAGAGAGAGCGGGAGCCAGCCTGAGCAGGCCAGCTCCATCATCAAGTCGGCAGCATCCTTCTCGTCAGTAGTACATCATGTAAAAGGTATGGGGCGTACATTACGAAAGATGGCGATAAATACGACGATCGACCTGTCTCCCCGCAAATAGCGAACACCGTAGCGTCCGGGCAAATCGGGCGCGCGTGCCTTTCGACACCCGAATCCATAGTATGGCGGCGGGATGATGCTATATAAGCCGATCCTGCAACCACCCAGTGAGGTCCCCTTGAGGTGATACCCACAAGACGGCCTCGGAAGCCCCAATACGCCTCAAGCGGGCTCCAACAAGAGTCCCAGAGGCCCCAAGACGCGACAATCAACAATGTTCATGAACATATGTTTTTCGCTTCCCTGCCTATTCGAGCTTCTGGCGCTCCAGGACTGGCCAGGAAGCAACAAACACATCGTCCTAAGACGGCCCGAGAGGCTGCCGAAAGCGCCTGAAAGCAGCCCAAGAAGGCTCGAAGACGACCCAAGACAGCCACAAGACCGCCCAAGAGGCCCCCAAGACGGCCGATGAGGGCCCCAAGAGGGCCTCAAGAGGCTCCCGAGAGGGGAAGAACCAACCGACACTTCGAGCCTTCGACCCCAAGAGGCCAACAGAAGGACCCAAGAGGCGCCCGAGAAGCCCCCAAGAGGCCCAAGAGGCCAGAGAAAGCTCCAAGAGCACTCCCAAGAAAACCCCAACAGGGCGAACTCACTGGTTTTCCTGGATTGTTGGAGTGTTTTCGTCGTCGTCGTCGTCGTCGTCGTCGTCGTCGTCGGCGTCGTCGTCGTCGTCGTCGTCCCCCTTCAGGGTCGGCGGCGCAGGCCGCAAGGCCTTCGCAGTCGGTGGCCTATGGTGGCCCGCCACCGGTGTTCCCACTGTCAACTTGACTCCGTGAAGCTGTCTGGGGCCTTCTGCTGCAAGGGTGCCGTGCTGCTTTTCCTCCAGCATTATGTTGTTCCCGTCCTACTTAGGGACCGCATCCCAGAAATAATTTCGAGCACCTGGAACAGTGTCAAGAGAGTGTCGAAGCAGTGTCGAAACAGTGTCGGGCGAGTGTCTCCCAGGGCCGGAGACGTGGAAACCCTCGAGTTTCGGTACTTTTCTGGGAACTCGAAATTCTTCCTGGCGGTCAACGCTAAAGTAGGTTGGAGCATCATAACTCTAGCACCTTGATGGTTTTGATTTTGTTTGCCGCGTACATTCTTTCGGGGGCGCGCAAACATGGATTAGCGATCTATGGATTTGGCGCGCGGTCGCCTAATCCATGGATCGGGGGAATTGCCCTCCCCAACAGGCGGCCGATGCCGCCTCGTCTGGCGGCAGAAATCCTCGATTCCCCATGGAAACAGGACCCGTCGCTAATCCATGCCCCCTTAATTCATGTTTGCGATCGCCTGATTCTTGACCGGCGCTTGGGCAGCACCCGTCGGGCGGCCTCTCCCAGTCGCTTGTCCAGTTGGAGGGGGAGGGGGTCCTCCTCCTCCTCCTCCTCCTCATCCTCCTCCTCCTTCTCCTCCTCCTCCAACTTACGGTGGTGGTGGTGGTGGTGGAAAAGAAGCCCATCATCGCCGATAGGGCAGCGGTAGGCCCCCGAGGGTGAAACCACGTGTTCCTGGGCGGGGGGGGGGTCCCAGGCTCCATGGGCCAATAGGGGTCGATGCTCCCCCAATGGGCCAATCTCCCTCGTCGTTGCCCCTCACGTCCCCGTCTGGGGACGCCCCCGAATCATTCCCCTGCCCGGGCTGTCCCCGGGTCGTTCGGGCTGTCCCGGGTCGTTCCCCGGGCCCTGCCCAGCCCGCGTGAGGGGTGTGCCGGAATGCGCGCGCCGCTACACGCGAACGCAACCACCGAGGCTGCAAGAATGAGCTCCCCAAAGCCCCTCTCAATCGCTGGACGCTGCTGCTGACGCTCCACAACCGTCCCTCCCTCTCAAAAACTGACGTTCCGTGCACCGCTGGAGGCCACAGCCCATTCTACCAGGTGTGGTCGCTGCGGGCAGAGCGCAGCCCGTCGACGAGCAGCCCCGCTGCTCACAGATGCAGGGAGCTGCCGCAGTACTGGCAGAACTTGAAATCCTCGGGGGGGGCGGCGCCACGCAGCAGTGCTCCTAGGGCAGCTGGCTTCAACTGCTGCGTCGCAGGCCAGAGGTTGACACCACCAACACCAACATCGGCGGCGTGCCTCCACCGAAGGTAAGAAGGTCCCGATCTCGGTGACGGTGGTCATATTCTGGCTTCCAAGGTGACGTGACCGAAATCTTACAACCAACGCCGAAATCTGGGATCGCCTTCCCCCCGTGGAGGCGACCCCCTGTGCTGGTGCTGGTGCCCACTTCCAGGCCTCCCACCGTGGGTTTGTGGGGCGCGCGGTGCAGCGCGCGGCCTCGCGGGCGCGCGCTCGAAGCAGAGACGCCAGGGTCGGTGGCTGGCGCTTGGGAGTTCACGAGAATCCGCCACTCTCGCAACCACCCAACCTAGCTCCCCAAAGAAAGAATAGGAACCAGGAAAAGCGACACCAACACCACCAGGGACCACCTGCGGGAGGAGTCAGGAGAGGTCCCCCCAGTGGTCCCCCCCCTCCCCGCCCTTCTCGTTTCCTCGTTCGAAGCATCCCCTGTCTCCAGTTCGGGGAGGCATCGTGGACCTCCTCGCTGGAGATGCCCCCCCCCTTGTGGTGATGGTGTCGCTTCTCCTTCCCCCGATAAAAGAAGGACTTTG